TTCAGTGGAAGCTGGACCAGGCCTTACCACCCCTGTTTTGCGTGATGCACTGTGTGCAGGCATGGGTGATATGGGCTTCCCACATACAGCGTCTCAATCTTCACCTACAGCTCCCCAAACGCACCCGTGTCTCTGCTGAATCTTTCCAGAACAAACACTTCCCATCATGCCTTCTGCTAAAACCACTAGTCTGTCCCACTGAGCAAACTCAGTCTAAACAGGATTCCTGCAGACTGACAGAAGTGCACAATTCTTCCCTCCAAACCGTCTTGAAAACTGACGGCTTGCATTTCAATCACAAACTGCCTTTCTGCCCAACAGCTGGCAAAAGCCAACAAAATGCCACATCCCAACAATATGACTTTATATTGCCCTCTTATCTGGAGGAAACTGACACTTACCATTTACTGAATCCAGGTATATTTAATCCTGTCTCAGCCTGGCAGGAGGAACTAGATAACCTCCTGAAGTCCCTTCCAGCCCTGTATTTCTATGATTATTTGTATTGTGGTGATGCTTTGAACCCTCAGTCACAGACCAGACGCCGTTGTGCTGGGTGCTGTACAAATGCAGAACAAAGGACAATCCCGGCCCCAGAGGGTTTGTAATCGAAGTGTGCCTTGATTCCACCCCCCTCAGAACACCAGACGGTCAGGAGTCTAATGGGAGCAGGGAACAGTTCTCCTAACTAAGCGGAAAGGTCTCGGATTTCATGCGGGAGATTTACGAGTCCGATAGATGCCAGAGGGATCCTCACCGGACAGCATCGGAGAGTGGTTTTCACAAGACTTTTGGATATTCCAACCAGTTGGGAAATCAATACAACCTGTCCGGACAGCTGCCTCCTGACGTTCAGCACAGTAAATGCTGAGATACCATCAGGATTTTAATTCAGCCAGAACAAAAGAAAATTCCAGACTTCCCTCCATTTGTATCTTCTTGTCTTGCTGCTGTCAAAGCCCTGGCATTTGAAGATGTAGGACACGTCGTGTCAGATACGCCACGCTTCCCAGCCAGGAGGGTTACACACAGATTTATGAGGGAACGATGAGGCCCTGACAGCTGCCGTAGATGACACGATAACCCCATCGGGCTCAAAGCCCACAGCTGCATCTGCTGATGGCCTCACCACCCTCCCCTCATGCAATGTCAAGCTAGGTATCTCAATGTGTCTTCATGCCACAGAGACATTGCATCATAATGGCCTAATTATCTCTGCATACCCGCTCTGCTGGGAGGCTACAAACTGCTGCTGTCAAAGCCTTTGAAAAATGGGAGTATTCCTCCACTGAAAATTCAAATTAACCCCATTTCTCTCCAACTACCCAACTCAACTCCCATGGAGCTGAGGCCAGGCAAGAAAAAGGAGCTCGCTTCCCATCCCTTCTTTGCGGTTGCAGTTCTGACCATGTCTTCCTCCCTGGTAGCTAAACCATGCTAGAATTACTGCTGAATTACAGCCGGCTGCCTCTCCCACCGCACTTCCAGTGCCGCCTTTATATTGTCTGGTTTGCTATCAGTTTCCAGAGGTTCCATTTTGTGTTCTTCCGTTTACACAGTCTGTTGTCCAGACATATCCCAAAGGGCCTCGCAGATGTTACTCGCCGACTATACAAAGAACACAACTAGGAAACACTTTCCGCACTAGGCAAGAGCAGCCAACTCTGGGGTGAAATGTGGCAGCTGTTTAAACAGCGTGCTGCAACGCTACCCAGCCGTTTGGGACAAGGAGCGAAGACAACAAATGCATCCAAATGAAACCAAAGTGGGGATTCTGGAAATGAGAATATAATAATGAACAGAGCTGGTGTTTGGCCAGGATCCAACAGGACTGTCCTCCCCTCATTTTATCCTCCTCTCAGGAGCATCCCCAGCTATATAGTCACACAGACCAAGGACGCTCTATACTAAGTAACCCCTCTGCACTGGTGCATCTGCTTTATTCTGCAGCACGGAGAGAAGACAATAAATACATCTAGCAACACCTAGTTTTCAAACGAAATTACGAAATTATCCAGTTCACATCTTTACTGAACTATTAGTTAGGAGAGAGATGAGTACCCCAACGCAGACTTGCTTTTCAATACCTCCTTTGTTTTAATTCTTAGCGGATTTTAACCTTGGCTAGGACCTGCTGGAATTTCACTTTACAAGATCCAAAAACATTACATGATCCGTATGAGAAAGAAACTCAAGCTTCATCAGGTCCAGCTGAATCTACCCAGCCCATTCATGAAAGCAACACAGGCTGCAAACAGATGGCTAAGACTCAATGCTTTCATGGTTATCAGAAACTATGTGGAGTTTCTAGCTGGAGGGTCCTGCAGGCCAGAAACGTAACAGCTTTGCAGTTCCTGCTCGTTTGTAAAGTCTGGTCATTGACGCCTTTATATCAATTTTATTATTAAAAAAGAAAATTAACCTAGCCAGTGCTCCCTATGAGTGTGGCCAGGCAGTGAGCCCCTCACTCCCAGGAGCAGTCCCACTCATTTTATGAGACAAATATGGAGTCAAGCATTTCTCAGTGTGCGTCAAAGAGTTGGCGCTGGGCTCTAAGTGCATTTTCCACTCGTGAAAGATGCTTGGCAATGATCCTGAATGGAAGGATGGTCTCGTGGATAAGGCCCTGGTCTGGAACTGCAGAGACATGGGAGTCAATTCCCAGGGTTTGAGCATTGGCCTGCTAAACCCAGGGTTGTGAGTTCAATCCTTGAGGGGGCCATTTAGGGAACTGGGGTAAAATCTGAGGATGGGTCCTGCTTTGAGCAGAAGGTTGGACTAGATGACCTTCTAACCCTGAAAAACTTAGGGGGGAAGGGATAGCTAAGTGGTTTGAGCATTGGCCTCCTCAACCCAGGGTTGTGAGTTCAATCCTTGAGGGGGCCACTTAGGTACCTGGGGCAAAATCAGTACTTGGTCCTGCTAGTGAAGGCAGGGGGCTGGACTCAATGATCTTTCAAGGTCCCTTCCAGTTCTAGGAGATAGGATATCTCCATTAATTTATTTTATTTTATTTGACCACAATTTTCCTGCGTGAGCTTGGGAAAGACCTTTGGTCTCCCCATCCCTCAGTTTCCCATCAGCACAATCCCCACCTCACCGGCGTGTTGTGAGGATAAATGTATGAAAAGCTGTTTAGCACATGCAGATTATAGCAATGGGGGCCACGCAACTTCCAAGATATAATGAAGGCCTCAGCACTGTGTCTGCTCTGCTACCTACATGACTCCAGCAAAGTACTCTGAGCCTAACGGGGAGAGACCAGTGCTAGAGGCGAGGGACAGTTCAGTCCTCAGCCACTCTGCTAAGGCTGCTAAACTGGGGTGCCCACAGTGGGGACACTGGTTTGCGCAATGGACCTCAGTCTGCCGGGAACCGGACTTTGCCCATGGAAGTTGCCCATTCTCATAGGGGCATGTTTCTTACTCTCAGTTTAGTGAAGGTTTTTCTTTAAAACTAAAGCAATAGTCTCCAACTCCTCCCCCTGCTAGCCCACACACGTTCATTACTCGATTTGCACTTCGAGGCCTTGCTTGATAGTTTGGGTTTTTCCCCCCCTTTGACAATGGAATGTTTTGTTTAAACAAGGAACGAGGACCTTACATATTCCCCGCAAAACTGGAGCGCTTTGCCTTCCACCTACTATTTGGATCCAAATGATGTTTTGTCTGTTGCAACCTAACTAAGTGAATCTCTGATGCTTATGTCTAAACATCAGGTGTCAAGGATTTATTTTAGTTGTCCTATTTCTACACATAAGTAACCTGCCAACATGAGGATTGGGTTGGGTTTTTTTTGTTTTTTTTTGTTTTTTTTTTGGATTTGGGTTTTTTTTAAGTTTTTAATCTTGTACTTTAGCCTTCTTCTGTAATGAGGTAAATGGTTTGTTATATCCAACTAGACAATAGACAGCTGTGCAAAAGAGACACAGGAGAGAGATCATTTTTGGGATGAGTACAAAAAAAATAAAATAAAATGAACCAACCACTAAAACAGATGGGTTGGCAAGATTTTAGCATCGCCACTGCAGAATGTTTTCCCACCCCCCCTCTTTAAAGACGAGTAAGAGGGCAGAGGACAGAACTGTTGCTTCAAGCTAACTTCCCACAGATTATGGAGTTAGCTATATGAGTGCTTTTTCTGAAGACAGCCTCTTATCCCACCAGTGTGTCAAACAATCTGGACAAAAGATGTTCTCCTGTGCCATCTCTAGGACCCAATTCAGGAAAGCACTTGTTAAGTTAAAGTTAAGTATGTGCTTATGTTTTTTCCTGAATTAAAGCCCTAAAATGTAAGGCTGAGAATGTTTAATAAAGGCTTCTCCCTAGCCTCCTCATATGCATCCCACAAAAACTGTTTGTGCAAAGTTTGATTTGTAGAACAAAAATCCACAGCTCTAGGGCAGGGATTCTCAAACTGGGGGTTGTGAGGTTATCCCGAGCTGTCAGCCTCCAGCCCCAAATCCTGCTTCACCTCCAGCATTTATAATAGTGTTAAATATTTTTAAATGTATTTGAATTTATGGGGGGAGGGGGTTGCACTCAGAGGCTTGCTGTGTGAAAGGGGTCACCAATACAAAAGTTTGAGAACCGCTGCCTAGGAGACATCACTGAGAGATCCAACACCCTGGCTTGTCTCCACAGAAGCCTTCTCAGGTGTCTACAGAATCAAACCTTTTGAATACCAGACAGTGGAGTCTAGCTAAGGGATGTGGGTCCACTAATAATCTCTCTCTTTTGAATGACTCAGCTGTATGCAATTGCAGAACCACTATCCTATCACACAGGAGAACAAGAAAGCTACTGGGATATCGCACAGTGACTGATCCGTGGTATAAGGTTATCTCAGGACATTTGTGACAGAAGTGATATTGGAATACAGGTCTCTTGGCTCCCAATCCAGTTCCTTAATCGCAGACACCATCCTTCCTTCCTTCCTAGCACAGTCAGTTTGAATGTCTCGACACAAACAGCAGAATTATGGAATTTTGAAAATCTTACCTATAGGGGTCAGTAGGGTCCTTGGCATCACAGATGTCCGCATGGCCATGGCAGACGCAGCGCCCTCCAATGCTGATATCTTTGATGCTGTAGTAATACTGGGAGAGCATGGAAAGAGCTGGCCTTAGGATCATTACGCAGAAGCCACACACTGGTGCTTTCACCCTCCCACGTTTCCCTCACACTGGCAAACTACATTGCATGTTCTCAGACTCCTGGCCAACATTTCCCTGGGCTGCAGTAACACCTGTTAGTGATCACAGAGCTAATTAGCAACAGGCTGGGGCTCCCACCACAGCCAAGAAACCAGGTGCAGCTCCAGCAGGTGTTCTGGATTTTTATTTTGCTGGCAGTGAGACTCTGAGAATAGTTTTTCCTCTGGCCAGATTTCCTGCTCTAGCCATTGGTATGCACCACTTAGGACTGGGTTCACCCAACATCATTATCAGATACAGCTGCCGGAGAATAACAGCATGGATGGAGAACAAGCCTAGAGAGGGAAATCTCAGGAGAAAGGGCTAGCTTGTAGCCTCAGTGGGCCCAGGGACCTCTTCCCCAGCCACTCGCAAACAAGTGGAAGTGACCCATTGAGACCTTCTCTCCATTCAGACAAAGTATTTCAAACAGACTGATAGAGACTGTAAAAGAACATACAAAGATCTGCCTTTTGGACAACACTGGCAAAATAGTTTCCCCATTGTGCTGAATCCTACCCAGCAGCCCTCAGCAAGAAACCTCAACTCAAGGCACTGACTTGCATGTTCTACATCACAATGGACTATTTTCCAAGGCACATGGTAACAAACCTACTCCTCCCTCATTAGCATCTCGAAGCATCTCACCCTCCTGGTCACGGTCGGGTCCCTTAGGGCTTTGCCCATCAGGTGCCCAAGCAGCGTGTTGGTCTGCAGGAAGCGCAGTCTGATGTTAGTGGCTTTCGTGAAATTCCGCAGGAGAGGTGAATACGAGAAGTTCATGGCTCCCGGGCGCCCGTTTACCAGCGAGACGACAATCTGCGGATGCAGAAGGAGAAACACATAACACAAACCTTCAGGCGGACAGAAAATTAACACCTCCCTCTGCCAACCACAAACTCTTTCCGACCCCAGCAAATTGAATCAACTCTCTACAAGTTCTATTTCCAAAAATGGCTGATATTCAACTGCAGTCCATGGACACAACTTGCAAAAGGGAGCCACTTCTGAAGAGCATTTACCAGCGTCCAGAAAACCATACGAACGATACTACCCTCTTAGCCCCTTCTATCCCTATTCCCTAGAAGCCCCCCACCAAAATACCCTACCCCAAGCAGAGTTTTGACCCCAGAAAGGGAGAGGGGCCAGAGAGTCTATGAAGTCCACTAGGGACATGGCTAACACTACAGATTTTACGTGAAAGCTGATGGGCAGCAGCATAAAACAAACAGATCTTCTCCCCTTCAACCCAATCTTATGGCCAAACTAATAAGGAGACGTTAAATACAGCAAAAGCCAGTCAGCATTTGTATGGAAGACGGTTCTCCCCCTCTAAACTCGGACTCTTTTATGGTCAGTACTTCTGAAGGGTCCATTCCAGTGCAAGTAACTGCCCATATTCACTGAGGTTTTTCTGCTGCAGCTCTTGGGCAGGAGAAAGACTTTAATCACAGCAGAGCAGATGTGAAGTTGGAGAAACGTAGTACTGGCAGAGCCTAAGCAAAACACAGCTTCCAAGACATGCAGATGCCTTCTGAGCCAAATTCTCCCACGGGGATTAACAAGATGCTCCCACAAAAACCCACCTGCTTCGTGGCCACAGATCCCAAGTTTACATGTGAAAGGGCAGGGGTGGGTTTTTTTGTTTTGTTTTTTTTAAATGGAGATATCCCAGCTCCTAGAACTGGAAGGGACCTTGAAAGGTCATTGAGTCCAGCCCCCTGCCTTCACTAGCAGGACCAAGTACTGATTTTGCCCCAGACCCCTACGTGGCCCCCTCAAGGATTGAACTCACAACCCTGGGTTTAGGAGGCCAATGCTCAAACCACTGAGCTATCCCTCCTCCCCCAAGAAACAAGCACACGCCTAGCGGAGGATGGTTTTCGTCAGCCCACCCATTCCACTTTGTCTTTCTCTAAACTCTAAGCCCCTGCTGCCAAGCTCGAAGTCCTCCAAGTGGACTTTGTTTTATAGTGTGTTTTATAAACAAGAACGTCTGCGGTTTGCTGAACTCTTTGCATTTTGCTATGACCCTTACTGGTTCAAGCACAGTCTGGAGGTGGATACACAGATGACGGTAGTATCTGAACAGCTGGAACAGATTCCCATGTGTACAGTAGAATTTGACAACAGGGTGCACCAGATTCCCTAGGCCACCACATCTCATAGCCATTTATCAACATTTACGTGTGCTCTGAAGCAAACAGGCTACGAGTCATGCAGTTTCCCCCAGCACTAAGGAAGATGCATTATTATCCTTGGATGTCTGAAGCCAGCCTGGTGACCCATGCAATAGAGGAAAGTCCAGCTCTGCTCATGATGTCTGGTTCCCTGGATTGGGTGGGTTAAATGCTTCCTCCTGTGGGCTAAGCAAGAAGTGCCTGGCAGTACAGTACAGAGACAGTCAGCAACCAAGTCCCACCCAGTCCTCCTTCGCCTGAGGAAAGAGTGAGGAGCATCCTCTGAGCCCTAGAAGGGGCCCTTTCCTCACCCTACACAAGCAAAAGCGTTTCCAATCCCAGAAGAGTACCTGGAGCTCCTCAGAGATCCTTCCATTTATTTCAACCACCTGATTCCTCCCCCAGCTCCTCCCCGACCCCGAGAAAGACAGCTCTTCGAGGAAATAAAGGCCTAGTGCAATACCTCACCTCTCCGTTTTCTAAAGGCACAATCCTGGAATATTCAGTAGTGCAGATGGCGTCATCATCCTTGGTAATACGTTCCACGGTATTCGGACCAAACTTCTCGATACAATCCCTCTTGGAAGCTGTTTACCAAAGAGAGACCAGAGCAATAAGGTAAGACGAGAGATATAGCCCAGATGATGTTTAAACCAACACTTCCTAATAAATGCTGGTGGGAGTTACCTCACAGAATTAGCTCTGCATTAAAAATTCATTATATTTGAGCTACTGCCTTTCCTGCCATCAGCTCTGCATCACTTACACCCTACTCCTCCACACTAATCCCCTCCTCAAAACTGCAGAGACGATGAGAAGTGAATGGGGCCACAATTTGAGAACAAACACTGAAGTCATGCCAAAAATCACCAGAGAAAAATCCCATTACAGAGTATTCTAGACTCAGAGTTTCATGGTTTCATAGACTTTATGGTCAGAAGAACCATTATGATTATCTAGTCTGACCACCTGCATTACACAAGCCAGGGAAACTCACCAGTAATTTCTACCTGTAGGTATTTGCAGGCTGGGATCAAGTCATGTCATAACCTTCTCTTGGATAAACTAAATAGATCAAGCTTCTTAAGTCTCCCGTAAGGCATGTTTTCCAGACCTTAGATCATTCTTGTAGCTCTTTCATGAACCCTTTCCAATTTTTGACAGCTTTTGGAAGCAAGGATGCCAGAACTGGGCACAGAATTCCAGCAACCCTATCCTCCGGGCCATATAGAGAGGTAATACCACCTCCCTGCTACTATCTGATATTCCTCCTGCTCATGCATCCACAGACCACCTTTATATAAAATACTGAAATACAATAATCCTGGAGTTTGTTTAAACACCAAAGAAATTGGTGGACAGTTTACAAAGGGGCATAACTAAGAGGAATGAGACAAAATCAAGAAGAAAGGTAAAGTATTTAGGATGAACAGAAAAATACAATCCAAAAACTTAACAATGAAACGACTAGCATGTGGAACAGCCTGCCGAGGAAGATGGTGGAAGCCTCAATACTGGATACATTTCAAACAGGACTGTACAAAGCACTAGACTATACCGTGAAGAGCAAAATAACGGCACACAGGTTTTATCTTCCATTCCTAAATCTTGTGATTATTGGTAAATAAACCAGAAAACTTAATCCTGCAGAAAAACCCACTTGGTGACAGCAATCCAGAGCTCCTGCCATTAAATGGCAATGCAAGGCTGGCCAAAAGCTAGAGGACAATCATAGCTCGCCATTAACTTCACTGGTCAATTGCCCCGCGCACAGTCATGGAATATGCTCTTGGAACAGAGGCCAACAGCCTTGCACGGGATTTACAGGAGCCAGGACAACTCTAGGATGCCAAGGGTTTCCTTGCAGCTGTAGGAGCGTTAAACCTCTCCCGCATGACTGAACAAGCACAAGCCACAGACTGGACAAGTCATGCATACATTCCTGAAGCTCTTCTGCCCTCGTGTCCCCCGGGGACGCTTGACATTCCATCGTCTGCAGAGTAAGTGGGAAGAGAGCCACACTGTTTACTGTTGCCGTTAACAAGGAGGTCATTTCCTTGGACTCTCTTGGAATTAGTCACGTACCTGAACGCTCCGGTAGCAGAGACTCTGCCAACATGGACACTCAGGGTCAGGCAGCTCATTAGATCTCAAACCAAGTAAGCTACAGGAGACATGTTCTATACAGTGACTAAGGGGCTGATTATGTCATCTTCCATTTACTATAAAACATCACGACACCACCCTCAAGGCAATCGCCTCCATAGAGGAAGAACCATGAAACTTTCTTGCCCATTCCTCTGAAGCATCTAACAGTAGCCAGTGCCAGAGGCAGGATGTTGGCCTAGAGGGGCCTTGGGTCTGGTCCAGTCTGGCAGTTCCTCTGTTCATGGCAGGGTGGCCATCTGCATTTGACTAATCTGATAATATTTTTTTAAAAAGAGTGACAAAAATTCTCACCCACATATTTATCTATTTCTCCATTCCTCCACCTAACACAATACTTCAACCAGCTATAATCACTATTTCCGTTTTAAAGATGGGCAAACTGATGCACAGAGAGGAGAAATGACCCAAAGTCACACACAAGCCAGTAGCAGAGCTGGGGGTAGAGCCCAGGTTTCCCAAGTCCAATCCAGGACCACCCAGCTTCTCATTCTCTAAACTTTACCTTTACTGTCACTGATTGTTTCCTCGTCGCAGGTTCTACACGTACCGAGCACTCAGCAACACATGTAAACGTGCACACAAGAATGCAGCTCAGGCTGGATCCAGAGATTAACCAGGAGAAACAAGGGTTAAAGCCAGAGAACCGAGCAGGGCAGATCTTCTCAGCTGTTCCTGGCAGGGCTGCTCAGCTCCAATTCAGACTCAACTGAGAGATGTTAGCATAGTTCACGGGCATAATCCTCAGAAATCCGTTACCATGTGCCTGGGATGACGGTGCCCCCTTTACCGCATGTGCTGCCTTGAAAACTAAGTCAGGCTGGAAAGTCAGAGGAGGGAAGACGTTCAACGAACTTAGCCCCACACCCACTGCTCATCCATGTGAGTCATGCTGGTGGGTGCCCAGAGATCCCTAGCACCTGGTCCAGAAACAATGTCTGGGCAAGGGAACAAGCTGAAGCACAGCACTAGCACTGGGAGGAATGGGGCTGCAAAATGTAATGTCAAGTCTCCAGGATCTGGATTGGATTGAATAAGCCATTGCTTTGATTAAAGGCTGCTTTCCCTTGGAACCACGGGCAGCGGGCTGTCATTGCTGCAGGTCAGCGCCGATCCATTTCAGGGCACCGCCGCCCTGGGAATATTTTGGTGGTGGGGAGAAAGAAACACACTGGCAGAATGAAGTGATGCCTTGGGCTCTAGACCTAGCGATTTTCCGGAGGGACCCAAAGCAGCAGAAGCTGCAGCAAGGAGAGCGGAAAACCAAGGCTCCATTTTGCTGGGTGTTCTGGTGGGGGGGAGGAGGAGACTGAAGCAGAAGATAATGCTTAGCAATTACTGTAATACACCTAATGGAAGGGGGACCCTCCGCAACACAAGTCCAATATTGGCTTTTAGCTGGAAGATATTAAACCCACTTGGGCTATGCAAACACCTAAATTTTGGTACCCCTCCTCTCCGACAGTCCCACCCCTGACTCCTTGAACCAGAGAAGAGGGAAGGAAGTGTGGGCTGGAAGCCAGCCACTGCACAGTTTTACTCTGACACTGGCTGTCTCTGTGTCCTCAGGCAAGTCACTTACTCTCTCTGTGCCTGTGTTAACCCACCTGTTACTTGAAGAGAATAATGTTTTCCCGCTTCATAGGGTTGAAAGGATCAATGCTGTTTATTTTCAATGCATTGTGGGCTGGGGCTAACTGGTTATAAATGTACATGCAGTCAGATGTCCTAGGACAGCCACTGCTGTTTAAAGTTTCCTCTTGTCCTGTGTCATCATGAGTCCATCATGGTCAAGTTTAACTCAGTGTCCACTGATGCTTCTCAAAGCACAGTGGGACACAGAGGGACAGGAAAAAACCCCAAACAGATTAAAGACAACCAGAGGGACTGAAGAGTCAATGCAGCAGGCCATGTGCTGTATTACATCCCTCCCTCCCTTTATGAGTGAGACAGATTAAATCCTCATTCTGATTCCATGTAACATGGCTAGCCAGTGAGGGCAGTGCAATGTATGTCTGGATTAACACCCCAATCCAGAACAGACCCCCATCTTTGGTGTCCTGTCCTTGCATCAAACGCAGGGTTTAAAAAAACCAAACAACGAACCTTTTACATAGCATCAAACTACAACCACCCCCGTCAGATCCCCTCCACCCCCATCCTGTTCCCTTTTACTTCTCCAGTGGCCTAGAAAAAGTATTCTCCATGCTCCTCACTCAGACCCACAATGGAGAGGAGCAAAATCGCCATTGCTACCGTGTCTTTTGGCCATAACCTGCAGCGCTCTCCTTCCTACTCTAGTGAAGTGCAATGAAGTTTTCTACAACTGAGTCATTTTTTCCCTCCCCTTTGAGAGATAAACCCATCAGCCTCACTAGCATTTCAGTGGAATGTATTGCAGGGACACCAGGGAGTCTGGGAAATTTAACCCCTCGTGGGGAGTGCAGGCTTGGCAAGGTGGAATGAACAGCGCCAGATCTGGATGCTTCTCTTTTCAGAAGCAGGAGCCAATGGTGTCCCTTTTGGAAAGGTCCCATAGTGCAGTGGTTATCAACCAGGGGTCCAGGGCCCCCTGGGGGGCTGCAAGCAGGTTTCAGGGGGTCTGCCAAGCATGCCCCGCTTTAGACTGGCTAGAGCCCAGGGCAGAAAGCCAAAGCCCCACCATGCAGGACTGCAGCCCGGGGCCCCTTCAGCCCCCAGGGCTGAAGCCAACGCCTGAGCAACTTCAGCTGTGCGGTGCCCCCTGTGGGGTGGGGTCCCCAGGTAATTGCCCGGGTTGTTACCCCTTAACACCGGCTCGGCTTTTATATGCAGGAAAACAGTGGCTGTGACACAGCTGGGCCATGGAGTTTTTATAGCATGTTGCAGGGGACCTCAGAAAGAAAACGGGTTGAGAACCCCTGCTACAGAGTTCAACAGAAAATGAGCATCTTTCTATAGACTTTTTTAAATCATCCTGTAGAATTTAATACCAAAATTTCTCTCTCCACTAGGGAATTGCTCAGATTAGGTCAAAAATAAGCCTGTGGAAAGAATCTCAATTGCTACCAAATTCCATCAGGTTTAGAGAGTCAACCCTCTTACGTTCTACGGGAATTTTCCATAGGTTAGCAGCTTGTTCCATTGCCAGCAGCCGGAGGCACCCCAACTTCTCAGCAAAGGGGGATTTAGGCAGCACTTGATGCGAGAGGGAACAGGACATGGCCCTCGCTCCTGCAAGCTGGATGGGCAAGCGGGTGAGCACAGAGCTCCACTGACATCAAGACAGCAATAGTGGCTTTCTGTCACCTTTCACCCCTGGATTCGGGGGGTGCTAGGGGCTAATTTGGGGATGGCAAGGACTGCTCTAACTTACATCCTGACCGAAATGGACCCCAAAAGACCCTCTGACAACCCAGAATATTCAGAGTGCAGAGCGATGTGTCCACACCTTCCCTTTGCCAGGCAGGCCCTTGTGGGGAGCGTACAGGGCTGCTTTGCCAGTGCTGCTGGGGAGATCAGGCTGGTTTCCAGCCCCTTTACACAGCCAGAGCAGCAGAAAGGGGCAAGCCGCAGCCCAGAATCAGCACCCAGGTCTCTGAGGGTCTGTCTACACTGCAGCTGGGAGTGAGCCTTCCAGCCCGGGTAGACAGACTTGCACTAGCAGGGCTCTAGCTAGCATGCTAATAAAATAGCAGTGTGGATGTTGGGGCGCCGGTGGAGACTCGGGCTAGCTGGGGGCAGCTGGTCGAGAGCCTGCACTGCTGACCAAGCCGTAGGCGCACACTGCTCGAGCCCCACTAGCGTGAGCCTGCGCACCCAGGCTGGGAGCTGGCTCGCCACTGCAGTGTAGATAGACCCTAAAAGAAATGGCTGCTTTATCGACTTGTGCTGTGCAGGGAATTCTGTAACTAAGGGGGGAGGGAGGGCGCAAAAAGCTCGCTTTACAGGCTAGGCTCCTGCTGGTTGCACTGGCTGCCACCAGCGCATAACGGAGGAGCAGTGTAGCAGGGTGGACACCTGCTCCTGCCTGGAAGGGCCTGAGATAGCCCAGGGAGCAGGCAGTGTGAAGGCTGAGCTGATTGGGGGAAGTGGCTGCAGCTGGGGCCACGCCCCAATCAGGCCTATATAAGAGGCTAGGAGCCAGGAGCTCAGTAGAGTCTCTCTCTATCTCCAGAGAAAGAGAAGGGCCTGGCTGCAGGGAGCTAGACACAGGGTACCTGTAGGGGAGCAGGGCTGGGGGAAAAGCTGGGGAGGTCCCGCCCGCATAGCACCAGG